CTGGACACTGTAGGTGGCTAACGGCTGCTGTAGCTACTGGACACTGTAGGTGGCTAACGGCTGCTGTAGCTACTGGAAACTGTACAACTGAGCTCATGTACTTCCTGATCTCTGCACTAGGAGTCAGAGCGTCGCATTAATCAGTCTAACGCTGTCACTGCCACAGTTTTCATGAATTTCGTAACTTTTTTCTGACATACCTGCAGATCCTTGCAGATCTCCTCAGTGGCCTCCCCTCCTCCTGCACCTCCTGCTGTCTCTCCTTCTCCTCCTCCTTCCCTCCTTTCTTTAACTTGTTTCTCCGGTGAGGAGGGATCTTGATCTTCAGCCTGATTCCTTCTTTCTGGAGCTCAGAAGAAGCTTCCTCCAGGGGACCCTTCCTCTCCTCTGGCCCAGCGTCCTTCAGCCTCACCTGGGCTGCCACACCACCGTTCAGGCCTCCATCTTGAGGCTCCTTCTGATCCTTCTGATCTGCTTTTAGAGGTGAAACAGTGTCACCAGATTCTTCCTCCATCTTTTCTTCCTTTTTGTTGTCATCTTTACTTCCTGCTTCTGTGACATGTGGCCTGGACGTTTCATCCCCTTCTTCATCCTCCTGTTGAGGACTTTTCTTCTCCTTATCGACCAGCTCCTCCGCCGTCCTTCCAGTCTGACCTTCTGTCCTCCTGGTTTCCTCTGTGGATTGTGAGGAAGCAGCTGCCACTGGTCTCTCTGCAGCTTCCGGCGGTTGATCTGGTTTTAAGGTCGATGGTGGTTTTCTGGGAGTTTGAGCCTCCGTCGCTGCAGGAGGAGGATCAGCAAGTCCTTTCCTCACCAGTACCGACTGCCGGCTCACCTCCCTCTCCTCCTCCACGGCTCTGGAGCTCCGCAGGTCCAAGCTCGGCCCGTTTAGCTCGTGCTGTTCAGCACCGGAGGTTCTGTGGCGCTCGGACGGACTTCGGATGACACCGATGTGACCAATGACGCCGACCTGACCGATGACCCCGATGACGCCGTTCTGCCCGTCTTTGTGCGGAAGCAGCACTGACGTTCTCCCATTGGTCAGTTCTTGCTTCGATGTCACAAGTTGCTGCTGCTGCGAGGCGGCCGGACCACCGGGAGGCGCCAGCGAGTTGGGCAGCTTCCCGTCTCGCCCGTGGCCGTCCTTGTTCTGGATTGCGGCCGGGTTGCAGACGATGATGCTGCTGCTGGTGCTGTTGTTGAGGTGGTTGCTGTGGAAGCTCTCGGCCAGCTTCAGCTCCCTCTTCTTCAGCGGTATCTTGGCCTGCTGGCTGCTCCTGACGACGGCTCGCTCCGCCTCCTCCTCCCTGTTCGCTTCCTGCTTTGTCACAGCAGCGCCGGGCGCCATGACAACAGATACAGCGTTTTTAGGGGCGTCGGCAGAGTCCTTCGGTTCTGATTTGATGACGGTGGTGATGGTGCTCACGCGGTTGTCGATGACAGACGGCTTGTGATGCGTCGTCTCTTCTTTCACCGCAGCGTCGGCGTTTTCCTGTTTTACTGCTGCAACGAGACAAACAGTCAGTCGGACAAACAGGAACCAACAGATCAGGCAGCATGAATAAACGGCGTCAAAATGAAAATCAGAAGGAAAACGAACCCAAACACTGACATTGGAAAAGGCCCACAAACGTCTGACAGAGGTGCAAGAAAGAAAGACAAAGGAAGGGCTCAGCTGAGGCTGGTGTCTCCGCTGTGCTTCCTCTGTAGCTGCTTTCAGCCTCTCTGTGGTGGTTTAGTCTCTCTAAAGTAACCCTGGTCAGAATCTGTAGCATGTCTCGGTATTCTATGGGTTCCAGATGTTGACCAAGTCAGCACCGGATCAGAACCTGTTTCATGTCAGAACTTTACTGATGATCAGATTCTGTCATGTGTCACATCCGAAGCTCGTTTACAGTTTAATTAGCAGCTACTCTCCCTTCAGTCGTCTCTCACTAGACAAACTGGAGCAGCAGCAGTTCCTCTAGTGTGGATACCTGGTTCTGGAGGTTTCTCTCTAGTGTGGATACCTGGTTCTGGAGGTTTCTCTTCGTGAACAGACTCGACCTTCTTACTGTCACTGTGTTGTTCTGCAGTTTTGGAGGGTTCAGGGTCGCTGCTTCCAACGGCCTCATCACCTGCATCAGCATCAGACAGACAAGAAGAGTTCACTTCAGCCTTTTTCATACCAACCAAACAAACTGCTTAAAGTTACTGCTGTGGGGCTACAGTGAAGCACCGGGTTCTCCTCCTCCAGCCAGTGTTCAGGAGATGGACCTTCAGCTCCATCTCTGATCCTCTTGGTCTCCATCAGCCTGAACATCTGGACGCTGCAGCTTCTCCTCATTCTGATAAAACTGTTCAGACTCTGCCGGGTTCCACAGGGATCAGGAGGGAACAGAACTGTTCAGGTCCAGACTCTAACCCTCAGCTGGATGGAGGTCTGGACTGATGCTGCCACCGCCGTGCTTCACAGTGGGGATGGAGTGTTTGTGATGATGTGCAGTGTTTGGTGTCCAACAGACGGAGCATAAAAAGCTCCATTCAGAGTCTCCACATGTCTTCTGGTGAACTCTGGTCCAGATTTAATCTGAGCTTTTTCCATCAGAGTCTCTCTCTTTGTCTCCCATAAAGCTTTGATGGTGAAGAACAGACAACAGCTGTTGTATGAACAGTCTCTGAAGCTGGAAACTCCTTCAGAGGAGTCGTAGGAGTCTTGGTGGTCTCC